GAAGCAACAAAAGTTTTAGCCGTTCTGACTCGGCACCCTATTTCTAGCACAGTAGATGAAGTCGTGATAGGATTCGTTAATTTATGCATCTGTAACATTTCAAAGATGATTAATGTGTGCCTTGTACTGTCTCACTTTACTGTATATAAGCAAAGCGAAGCTGATCTGAGTCATGACAAGAACAATATGATTTTTCTTCAACATTTAACTTATTTTTGTCTCGTAGGAATGGAGTTTTTTAGGGACGGTTTGTTATGTGAGCCGATTGGTTAGAGCTTGAATAATGTCACTGGTCATTTGCTTGAAAAAAAAAAAAATCTATACCAGATGAAGAGCCGAATGACCTCAGAAACATTGGTTTGACCATCCATGTCTACTTTAGCTTGCATATAATTGGCTCTTTGAGTCATAGGATGTGGAGTGAGGACACTGCAGGCCTGTAAAGTCTCACATTCTGATTGGTTGTGGTGTGTGTAAAGGTTTGCTGTAGCTACACTGAGTGACGGAATGAAGGATAGCATATTGTTATTTTTAAAAGAACAAGATTACACTCAGACATTTTAATCAAATATTACTAATATTCCTTTGCAATAACATTGTTTTTTTTGGTAGTAGAAAGCCATTCAGCAGAACAGAAACAATCACTCATAGCAAAAGCACAGACAGCCCGATATCTTGCAGTGATAGTGCCATTATTCTTTTGTGCACACGTGTTTGTTCCCTCTCTGGTTTAGTTTCCGTCAGGCCCATACGTGGACACACAGCTGACCCAATGGTCATCATCTTTACTGATTATTACCGTTATGCCGTGGACAGTAGCCTTTACCTACCATAACATTACAAACTGCTTGAAAAATGTCCTTTAAAAACAGTGTCTAACCACAAATTCACAAACCATTGGTTTTTGCTTCTCTTCAAGTCGGGTTTATGATGTTGTCTGCTGTACTTTAGTATTTTATGTGATATTTCATGTTTTGTATACTTGAAAATGGTGTTTGTGTATTTTATGCTTCATACAGTAGATTAAATGTTATTATTATTTTGAAAGCACAAAGTGGTCTTTGATAGATTTTTTTTTCCTTTGATGGATATGATTTATGCCCCGTTAAAACGTTGGTTGATTTTGGAGAATTTTTTCCGCCTTGTTGTCTTGATGGCTTTATAACTAACAAGATGGCCTTCATTTGTTTTATTAGTGAAATTTACCAAACCGCCTGTTAAAAGGTTTTATTTGAATCATTATTCTCTGTGTTTTTCACTGGTTTCCAGTTCTAAACCATCGGATGTCTCGTCGCTACATTACGGAGTCGACACTAGATTAAACCACCTACACAAGGAGCATTTCACTGCTTGAATCAAGTGAGTTGATTTCAGTCACTCATCTCAGTCAAGATTTCAGTAAATGGCGTATTAGTCACACAGCAGAACAAAAGCTGATCACTTAACATTTCATTTAAACTCATTGTGTGTTAGATGTGAGGGGTATAAAATAAAGTAATAACTTTTATAAAACATGTTTTGGAGTACTGTTGTGAGTTGAGTATATTGGTGTGTTATGATGGTTAGAAGCTGCATACGACAAAAAGAAACCACAGTATAAGCACTTCAGACTTGAGAAGCTCTCCACTATCGTTATTGCTCATCTTTACAGATTCTCACATTTGAAAAGTGTCATTTTCCACATGAAGCCACAGCTGCCCTCACACACAGACATGAACTCACATGCTTTCTTACAACACATGAATATATTTTCATCGGTCATGCACTTGCTCACATAATAAAGTTACACCATCGTCTAATTCCTCATTATTATTTGGTCAGTCTGTCACTCTAATATTTAGCATCTGAAATGGTTCATAATGAATTATTGAGCACTCATTTGTACTCTTTATTGACGGACAAAGCAGAAAAGTTTACAAGATTGCTTTTTCTTTCCTGTTTTAAGAATTGTGCTATTTAAAAAAATTAGATACAACAACAAAAGAAAAAGAACATCCTAAATTTTTAAAGGTTTAGTCTAAGTCCTCTATTTGTCAATGCTGTTTACGCAGTCATGATTTAGCAGAAGTTACGACAGATCTTTTCTCTCTCTCTCTCTCTCTCTCTCTCTCTCTCTCTCTAAGTATTGTGATGCATCCAAAGTGAAATGGATTACCGAAAATAGAAAAAATGTAGGACAGGACTTAGTTCCATCCATCAGTTGTTGTTGATTGGATGAAGGCAGATCTAAATTAGAGTTTGTGGACTATTGTAAGAAAGGGAGTTTATGTGGACAAAATGGTTGAAGGTGTTTTTTTAAAGGATTAGTTCACTTCCAGAATGAAAATTTCCTGATTATTTACTCACCCCCATGTCATTCAATATGTTTGTGTCTTTCTTTCTTCAGTCATAAAGAAATTAAGTTTTTTTTTTAGGAAAACATCCAGGATTTTTCTCCATATGGTGGACTTCAATGGCGCCCAACGGGTTGAAGGTCCAAATTGTTTCATTGCAGCTTCAAAGGGCTCTACACGATCCCAACCGAGGAATAAGTGTCTTATCTAGTGAAACGATCAGACATTTTCTAAAAAATAAAAATGTATATACTTTTTAACCACAAATGTTCATCTTGCACTAGCTCTGCAATGCGCGTCTGTGACGTCGCATTACATAATCACGTTGGAACGGTCACGTGTGGTTAGTTCTTCGTCTGTGAACTTCGGTTCAAAAAGGTACGGTAGGGCGAATAACTCCATCTCATTTTCTCCTTCAACTTAAAAATGGTCCGGCATCATTTTACCTTTTTTGTAAAGGGCATTTGACTTTCTTTGCACATTCGCTTTGTAAACACTGGGTCGGTACTTCTGCCTACATCATGCGTGACCTTTCCAACGTTTTTTAGAAAATTACGTTTCGCTAGATAAGACCCTTATTCCTCGGCTGGGAGAGCCCTTTGAAGCTGCACTGAAACTGCAGTTTGGACCTTCAACCCATTGGCCGACATTAAAGTCCACTATATGGAGAAAAATCCTGGAATGTTTTCCTCAAAAACCTTAATTTTTTTTGACTGAAGAAAGAAAGACATCTTGGATGACATGGTGTAAGTAAATTATCAGGAAATTTTTATTCTGGATGTGAACTAATCCTTTAAAGGGGTGGTTGATTGCGATTTCACTTTTTTTTAACATTAGTTAGTGTGTAATGTAATGTTGCTGTTTGAGCATAAACAATATCTGCAAAGTTACGACGCTGAAAGTTCAATGCAAACGGAGATAACGTCTCTTAAAATTATGGCAATTTAATGCCTACAAAAACCGCTCGTAGGGACTGCAACGAGTTACTTCCCGGGTTTGTGACATAAACGACATTAAAGTCCACTATATGGAGAAAAATCCTGGAATGTTTTCCTCAAAAACCTTAATTTTTTTTGACTGAAGAAAGAAAGACATCTTGGATGACATGGTGTAAGTAAATTATCAGGAAATTTTTATTCTGGATGTGAACTAATCCTTTAAAGGGGTGGTTGATTGCGATTTCACTTTTTTTTAACATTAGTTAGTGTGTAATGTAATGTTGCTGTTTGAGCATAAACAATATCTGCAAAGTTACGACGCTGAAAGTTCAATGCAAACGGAGATAACGTCTCTTAAAATTATGGCAATTTAATGCCTACAAAAACCGCTCGTAGGGACTGCAACGAGTTACTTCCCGGGTTTGTGACATAAATCATGCCCTCCAGGAACATGCAACAAAGGGGGAGGGGCCATGTGCTGCTTAAGAGAAGAGGAAGAGTTGTTGCATGCTGTCAAAACTAGGGGTGCACGGAAAAAAATCTATTCATATATGAATCACGATTCTGTCTTCTAACTATTCTAATGGATTCACAAGTTTTAAAATCAATGTTCTAAAGCAGCGGTTCTTAATCCTGTTCCTCCCGTTCCCTGCTCTGCATCTCTCTCTCTCTCTCTCTTATTCTGATCATCAGCTCAGCTCCAACAATGAACTGTTCCAATTATACACTTTGTGTATAGACAGACAGATATTTTTCACATAGCTATGAGAAGCGTTAAACATGGACGCGCATGCGGTTGCTGCATGTGTACCGTGTCTGGACCAGGAAGCAGTATTAAAGCTTTAATCAGGATAAAACCGTATATTAAAAGCTAACATAAGCAGTAGCATTTACAAATAACATCTATCTAAAAGTATGAGAGAACAACAAACAAAAAACATACCATTAAGAGCCGTGCTTGCGCGATCCTCTTCACTAATATTCTCTGGGTCTCAATCGGGCTCAAATTAATAAACAATTTTGACATATTGAGGACTCCATTGTTTACAATACAACCGGAGCACATGCCACTGAGGTGAGGGGCGTGATGTTTCTGAACGCGCACTGACAGTTTAGCAAATCACAACACACTGGGCCAGCTAACCAATCTGAGCCCATTGTGTATTTCTGAGGGAGGGGCTTCATAAAAGCAGGAAATTATCAGCACATTTATAGGAGAAGGGACAGAGCAGTGTAGAATAAAGGTAAATTATGTGAAAAATAAAGTGTTTTTTAAAAACGAAGCATTAACACATGTTAGACTGAACCCTATAAACACAATCAAGCCTAGAAAAAAAAAACAGTCAACCACCCCTTTAAATATTATGAGCACAAAAAAGGGGAAAAAAACATCCATAGATGAAGTGTTCACTATAAAATCAATAATCATTTCATGCTGATTTTAACGCTAAAATATGTGAACCACCAAACCCAACACACTATGGTTTGTCACTTTGTGTGATAACTTGAAAGTGCATGCACATAGTGTCAGTGCTCACATGTCTAAAAATAGAAACAGGCAACACAGCTTCCTCAGTTGTTTAGTCCTGCTTTGCAATCATTCTTGATATGCTTTAAAGTCATTTAAAAAGTCCTCCTAACATTGAATAGGTTTTCTTTTCAAATTAAGATTACAGAAAACTCAAAAGTGTACAGGGGTGTCAGTCCCTCTACAGTACTCATAGTTCTTTTAGCGCTTAACGTTGATAGGAGCGTACTCTGTGAGCTCTACTGGGTCACTGTGTGTGTGAGCTGCTGTGGATGCTGTTTTAACATGGACTACAGCAGAATACATCACGTCGTCCTGGAGAAAGAGAGGAAAAGATGGGGTGATTGCACACACAGCATCGCATCAATACGTTATGTAATCAACAGTAAAGGTAAGTTTGTTTTAATAATAATAATAATAATAATTGTTTTCACCTGATTGTCTTGTTCTCTCTTTAGTTCTCCACTATCAGTGGTCACTTTTTTATAATTTCTGCCTCCTGCAACATTAGAGACACCAGTCTAATCACTAAATATGTTTTCAACATTTATTTGGTTTTGTACCTATTATTCTGTGTGTTTTGAGAGTACAGCTACATTAGCTGGTCCCCATCTTTTCCCCATCTACCCCATCTTTTCCTCTCTTTCTCCAGGACGACGTGATGTATTCTTAACAAGTAATTTATGAGTATTTCGGTAGTTATTAGTTATCAGAAGTGTGATTGTGTGTGTTCATTTACCTCTGCATCTCCATAATATAAATGCCAGTATAGAAGCACTGAGAAAAACACTCTCAGAATGAAAACATCTGTGGAGAAACAGAAATGGCTTGATAAATGCTTCTTTTTTTCTCAAATGTAGTACAAATATGCATACATCTCTCAATATGAGCTCATAAAAGCTCCATGCATGCATTTTTAAAAATTAAATACAAACACTTAACAATGAGAAAACACATTAAAACCATTGTTGTATAATAAAAAGCGCAACGCCTGTGACTTACACTGAGATATATGTTGTTGAGTCGGTTTAAGTTGTGAAGCTGTGGAGTCTTGTGTTTGGTGTGGAGCTTGATGTGTCGTTAAAGTGATTGTGTTGATGAGGTTTTTCTGTTCAGAAGTCTGCAAGTTGACATCATTCTTCTAAATATTTAGATTCTTTGTAGAACAAAATAAATAGTAATGGTGATCTGACAACAGAAATAGAAGAAAACTACCTTCAGCGTGAAGTACAGTAAGTCTGAAGCTGACTTCTTGCTGAGACGAGACACACTGATAGTGCCCTCGGTCCTCTGTGGTCAGTGCTGATATGTGTAGAGAAAGATTTCCTGGAGTGTTTGGATTTAACAGTTTGACTCTGTTCTTGTTATTCTCAATCTGCTCTTTTGGGTAAATGTCTCTAAAATTATTCTTTGTCAAATAAATCCATTGTATCTGTTCAGGTTTAGCCAGTAGTTCAGTGCAGGAACAGGGCAGAACCACAGCCTCTCCTGAATATCCAGTCACTGCAAATGTCTTTCTGTTCTCAACCAAATCACACCCTGAAAACATTATACAAATTATTTTCAAATATTTCAGATTAAACTGCAGTAAAAATGCTGTCCTAAAATAATGTCAGGATAATATTTAATAAATGCAGTTGCGATCAAAAAAGGCCATGAATGGCCTGCATTGTTGTAAGTACAAGAGAAAATCAAAAGTGGATGCAACATTTAAATATATTATGTCTGTCACCTGCTCCAAATTTCCCCTTACCTTTAACTTTTAAGTCAACATGTTTATTTGGCTATTTGATTCGGTTATACTGCTATAGTAGCTCTGGTCATTCATTCTGAGGTCAGAAATGAGAAGATACAGATTTGTTGGAGAATGTTCATTAAACAGCACACGTCTGCCGCTGTATTTCTCATCTTGAAATACTTGGATCCATTGAATTCCCTGCTCAAACTCCCAGGTGAATGCTGTGACTGTAGACTGAGGGTCAGCACAGAAGCAGGGCAGCACAACTGAACCACCTGTGTATCCTGTTATTACTATTGTCTGCTGCACATCTGAAACAATACAGCCTGCAAACAAAAAAGTTTATGCATTCAAATGAGCTTTACTGGAATATATAATAACCAAGAAGAATAAAAACTGAAAAGATCCATTCAGGTTTTTTTTTAATTGTACATATATTGTGATCAGAAGTATTTAGGGTCCAAGCATCATTTAAACATGAATAGTGTTTAATGAACAGGACAATGTTACTCAAATCTAATCAGATTCTGTTTATTATTATTACTATGATTATTATTGTTATTATTATGCACAAATACTGTTTTAATTAGTTTGCACTACTTCCCTGTTTCAAACACAGAGCCACCCTTTTGACTAATCACAAAACATCATGCCCTTCAGTTCATGATGCATTTCAATTTAAATGTCTCTCAAATGGTCTAATAATTCAAAACTATGCAGATGTGAACAGACACAGTCTGTAGTTTGTAAAAAAATCATCATTTTAATCATCCATTCCTGCCATCAAGCGTCAATGAATTATTATTATTATTATTATTATTATTTTACTGTTTTAAACCAGATCTATATTCATTGCTCACTGATCTCACATTGAGTTCCCTTAACCCCCAATCATCCTTCGGGACAAATTTGAGCAAAATCATTTTGTTTTGTTTTGTAAAAATAGTTTCCTTTATCTGAGCGGTTCAAGACTTGGCCACTTTTCGTAAGTTTGCCACCTGAACACACACATAAAAAAGAGGACTCGATTCAACAATGTTAAGTGGTTGAAAAACAACAACAACTCCTTAAATTGACCTTTGTGCCCAAAAATGGGCACCCATAGGAAATGAATGGGAAATACCAAAATTCAAAGAATTTTTTTTATTTGTCCAATAAAAATCAATAAATCCAACAATGCAGATCAAATGAAGGTTTGAGCCTATACAACATTCTCAATGTGTCAAACACACACACACACACACACACACACACACACACACCTCATTTGTCACAAAAACGCGCGCACACAAACACACACACACACAAAGCCATTGAGTACTACAGCCAAATAGTGGCATTGAAATGTTTGATATTTTTATTCCATCATATGTCACCAGATGGCACCAAAGTCACCAAATGTTTAGTCTGGTGACATATGATGGAATAAAAATATATGTATATTTACTGTATATTAAAAATTGTACAAAAACAAATTCTGTACTAAAGCCCTATTCAATTCAATTCAAGTTTATTTGTACAGCGCTTTTCACGATACAAATCATTGCAAAGCAACTTTACAGCAAATGAAGTTTCTACAATATTTAGTGGTAGCTTATCAGTGGTGACTGTCAATTAATGTACATATGGCAGAAATGTCCCTACACATGCTTCCGTTTCACCAGTAGGCATATCTGCAAAATGTAAATAAAGATAAAGAGTCATAGTCCCCCTCCAGTTCAGGGAGAACAAAACAGATCTAGGCAAGGCCTATGTGAGATTTCACAACAGTACTCATTAAATCTTGTATAACGTGTTTAACTTCTTTTGTGAAACTCATTTGAAACCTGTACCACTTCAGTACAAACCTCAAACTCACTTCCTACGCCCTTGTTTCGCTTGTGCAGACAGATCAGGCTCGCACCTCAGAAACTCCGTGTGGACTGGGGAATGGTTACTTATATATTATGAAGAAAAATTATTATTATTTTTTTTTAAATAATCACACATATTACATCTACAGTATCGTGAGGCACAGCAATGAATTGGTTACCGTAGAAACCTCAAGCCTGCTATCCAACCACATGACTAAAGTTTCGCTTTTCATTTGACCATCACACATAGAACGCAGTACTGGTATCTATAATGTTCACTCTGTCCCTGGAATCATAAAGGAGTATTTTTTTAAAATCCACAGAACCAGGTCGAGAAGATGCAGAGAACAACCATGCAGAAAATCCAGGAGAAACAGAAAACAATAGAGGAGCTGAAACAGCTTGTGAACACACTGGAGGTGAGAGATTATCATTTTCTTTTGCACTCATTTAAGTGCACTAGAGTTCTGAAGTTTTTGGTCAGTAAGATTTTTGAAAGAAATTAATATTTTTTTATTCAACATTCAATTAAACTGGTGGCAGTAAAGACATGTATGTTACAAAAAATATATATTTTTTTGCATTCTTTTCCCTTTCTATGCATTCTTTTCACTTTCTATTCAAATTTTTAAAATCCTGAAAAATGCATCATGGTTTTCACAAAAATACTAAGCACAACTGTTTTCAACGTGTTAATGATGATAATATAAGAACTGTTTCTTGAGCACCAAGAATGATTTCTGAAGGATCATGTGACACTGATGAACATTGATGTGACACACTACCTAATGGCTGCTGAAAATTCAGCTTTGCCAGCATAGTATTGGATTACATTTTTAAACATATTGAAATAGGAAATAGTCATTTTAAATTATAATAATTTTTCACAATATTACTGTTTTTACTGTATTTTTAATCAAATAAACGCAGCCTTGGTGAACATAACAGAACTACTGACTCCAAAGTAGTGTATTTTGTATCTAGTCATAGTGTTTGTTGGAGAATTAAAAGCATCAGAAATAAAAATTCACCCTTTACTCTTTACCTCATGTCATTCTAAACCTGTATGACTTTCTTTCTTCTGTGCAACATAAAGAAAGATCTTTTGTAGGATGCGCTTGTTGCCCTTTTTTATATGCAATTACAATGAATGATGACAAAAGATCCTCATAAAAGTATCATAAAAGCAGTTCTAAAGTCAGCTAGTAAGAGGAGCAGACCAAAATCTAAGTTTGGCTGATCCAATTTAAACTGGACTACTTTTTTCTCCTCACAGCACTCTGCTCAGACAGCAGTGGAGCACAATGAGAAGATCTTCACTGAGCTCATCCTCTCTATTAAGAAAAGACAGCATGAGGTGACACAGCTGATCAGAGATCAGGAGAGGACTGAAGTGAGTCGAGCTGAAGGACTCCTGGAGAAGCTGGAACAGGAGATCGCTGATCTCCAGAGGAGAGACACAGAGCTGGATCAACATCCACACACAGAGCAACATTTTGCTTTCAAGGTAAAGCCACAGGTTGCCAGAGGCATTTTCTCTGGTTCAGTGCAAAACATTTTTTTATGTTTTTCTCAATATAAACTTTTCAGAATCTCTCTGATTCTTCTGAATCTGAGCAGTCTTCCAGTATGACTGTTAATCATATTCTATTTGATGGACTGAGGAAATCTCTCTCTGATTTAAAACAACATTTTGAAGATTTTTGTCAGGAGGAGATCAGTAATATCATCTCTGTTGGTAAGAGACTCCTTTAAATAATTTTCACTTTCAAAAGTTTTTTTCTTTGTTACTTTTTATCTTAAGTAACCAGTAAATAAACAGATATTTTATTTTATTTTATTTTGTACTACATATAGCATGCAATCTACAGTATTAAACTTTACTTGCAATGGCACTTTGCTGTTCTTTTATAGTGGCAAGAATTCAGATTTTACCATTGACCAGAATCAGGAATCACTTTAAACAATGTAAGTTAAAAAACAACAACAACAACAAAAAACACCTTTATGTGACTCTGTATGTGCTTTATGTACCATATATGTGCAGTATTTTTAAAATTTTGAATTTACAAAATTTCAAAACAAGTGATTTTTTTTCAATTGTCGGCAATAACTGACAATAACAATCACATGATTTATAAATCATTTTCCTTAGATTTTTGTAGCTTTACCCTTGATCCCAACACAGCGATTGAACACCTCGTCCTCTCTGAGAACAACAGACAGATGACATACACTGGGCATTTAGGGATTTATAAGTTCCCCTGCAAGGTGTTTTGCAAGGAGAGTGTGTTTGGACGCTGCTATTGGGAGGTGGAGTGGAACGGGAGATGTGTGCATATATCAGTCTCATATAAAGAAACGAGTGGCAGAGGAAAGGGATTAGTTGGTATGTTTGGAAACAACAACACATCTTGGAGTCTGCAGTGTTTTCCCAAGCCTGTTTTCTGGCATAAGAGCATTAAAACAGAGATCTCAAGACCTCTGTCCTCTAGGGTGGGTGTGTTTGTGGACTACAATGCAGGAACTCTGTCTTTCTTCAGTGTCTCTGATACAGTGACCCTCTTACACCGCGTCCAGACCACATTCACTCAACCCCTGTATCCTGGGTTTTGGTTCAGTGCATCAGGTTCTGGAGATCTGCTCAATCTAGACAATTCTGGGTCAAACACCAATGTGTTCTCCTCAGTGAAATTATGTGATCCATAAACAAGTTTTGTGATCCCCTTATTTAAATTCAGCATTGCGTATATATAAATATTAACATACACAATGTTATCACATATTTTTAAAAAAGTAGTATGACAGGAATTATTATATTTTGAAAATGAAAATATGTTTGTGTTTGTAAAACAAAACATTTAGAAATGTTATAGCCTGTTTTTTCCCTCTAAACTGAAAAAGTTTTTTTTTCCCTTTCTGTTGACCTTAAAGGGGTCATATGATGCAATTTCAAATTTTCCTTTCTCTTTGGAGTGTTACAAGCTGTTCGTGCATAGATAAGATCCCTAAAGTTGCAAAGACTAAAGTCTCAAACCCAAAGAGATATTCTTTATCAAAGTTAAGACTTGTCCACGCCCTCCTAAAACACGTCGTTCAAACACACCCCCACATGTCTACGTCACTTTGTGGGAAGATTTGCATAACGCCGCCCAAGGCTTGTTTGAGATGAGCAAAATCTGGTTATCACTGCGAGATGCATGCCGGTTAGAAAAGTGTCCGAGTTACGTCCGACTTGCTCTGATGTCATGCTGACGTGTGCCAAAAAGGCGAGGCGGCTGTGTTGGATTGTGCAGTCGAGCGCAGTTACTCTCCACCGACTGCGCTGACCAAAAGCATGATGGGAAACGACTGACTGACGACAC